AGTGGATATATGTATATATGTGTATAACTGATTCACTTCGCTATACAGCAGAAACTAATACAACATTGTAAATCAACTATACTCCAATAAACATTAATTTAAAAAAAAAAAAAGAAAAGTGACTTTCCATGAGAGGAAAAGATATAGAGTTAGAAAGGAAAAACAGTCCAGGAATGGCTAGCGATTTCCTTCCTTATTTTGTCTTGTCTTCAAACATAAGAGCAAGTAGGCAAGCAAACAAATGCTCAGAAAATACTGACCCTCATGTATGTCTCAAGTCCATATGATTACAGGAAAACTCACTTACCTGGATTGAGAATTCCTATGGCATTACTTTAGAGCTGATATTTCCAAAAACAGGTGACATGTTATTATAGGCAGAGTTACTTGGCTCCCTCCTATGGTCTAGGTCATTTTCTACACTTTCCAGGTATGTATCACTTGCAAGTCACAGAGCTTAGTCTTCTGATACTCTCTTATTTAATTTTCACCATTCTCGATGCATCTCCAACACATCACTTTTTACATTCTTTTACACATCTGCCTTTCTTACTATTGAGTTCCACAAAGGCAGGGACCATATCTTATTCATCTTTATCTCTTTAGTACTTGGATTACTGCCTAACATGTAGTAGGCAACCAACAAATTTTTGATAAATATAGAAAGTTTATTTGGATGGTGGAACAGTGGAGATGTTTTTGAACAAAGGCAGAACTAATAATTATTAAACAAAACCAAATATTTGAATTAAGGAAGTCTTTAAGTCAAATCTTGGCTTAATTATTCAGCTCAACAATTGTGTTCCAGCCAGTCTTATTTCTGGCCAGTAATATCTCAATAAGACTGTGAAAAGGATAAGAGGTGATACTTGTACTAGGTACTCTGCATTTCGTGCTGGAAATCCCCGTGATTAAACTAAACTTAAAAAAAATCACTAAAATTAAACTAAAATAATACTAGTTTTCAGTTTTATGTATGTATTTGTTGAGGAGACATTCACTGGGCACTAATGTCTATGCGAAAGCCTACACAGCTTATATTGAGTTCTCATTTTTAAAATAAACTTTCAAGTTGCTAAAAATATTTTAGTATACAGTGATACTTAAGAGATTCTTTTTTATAGAATCAAATATTTCAAGAAAGGAATCAAGTGAAATATATCCTATGGATTATTTTCTCCCACTACATTTAAAAATCTGACTTAAAGCAGTGACTCAAGTGCTGAGCACCCCACAAACAGACGGCATTTTATTCTTATAAATGATGGTTAAAGGAGTTATTTAGTATGAATTGGGATAGAAGACTGAGAAGGAAATTTGAGAAAAAACTGCTGGAGAAAGGAAGAAAATTCACCTTCAGGTTGCAATTATATCTGATGTTGATTAACTCAGCCATTATGCTTTAATGTAAAAGGGTGACAAACTCAACAACAGAGACTGCCAAGGCTGAGATGGTCTTTTGTGAGAAGCACAGTTCTATGGTATCACAGACTTGGTTCTGTGGCTGAAAATTAACAGTCTACAATGCTTTGCTGATCCTCAGAAATTCTTTAAAGAGCTGAAAACTTTTTAAATAAATTATATTTATTTTTATTTGGAAAATATTTTTCTTCATCTATTTTATAATGTATTGATATTTTAAATATCATAAGTTTATTATCGAAGTTGTTTATTAGATCCACAATATCTGCAGGTTTAAGACAGAAACTCGAGAGGATCTTCTGAGAAGGAGTTAAACTGACAATATCTAGACTGTCAGTAAGTGAACTTTCTCTATGTACATTCATGAAGTACAGCATCATTTTAACTTTGAGACCTTGGGTAAACCCTAAGCTTACAATGTCCTGGTTTTCTCTTTTGTAAAATTGTAGTAATAATAAATAGTATCTATCTCATATGATGGTAATGAGGATTACATAAATGACACTGGTGCAATCACAAAAATCTACTGAGCACCTACCTGAGGATACAGCAGGGAACAAAGCACTCCCACTCCCCCTAATAGGTAATGAACTTAGCATAGTACTTAAAACACTGTAAATACTCAACTAATTAGAGCTATTATTATCTTGGTAATGTCAGATATAGCTCACAGAATGGGACTGTATGTGCAAGATAAATGTGTATAGACAGTTTAAGATTCTTGGTTTATTTAAAAGCTATCAGCAAGAGGAGAGAATCTGTGGTAGATTCAAAATTGGGATTCTTTACATACTTCAGATTCTCTTCCTTTGGGAGGTACCAGTGATCCAGGTAGACTTTAGTAGGCCTTGAGTCATCTGTCTATCCTTTACACTGCAAAACTCTGGAATTTCACCCAAATACTTTTACATAGTAGTTAACAAATGAAGAGCTTTCCAAGCTGAGTTCAGGAGTCATTATAGCAAGAATGTGAATATGACTCATGAGTTTTCATTACTAATTCTCTTTGCACATTTAACTGGTACTCTGGCATTACAGAGATTCTGGTGTGGCTATAGGGATGTATAAAGCAAAAATGGAAGTTTCTTGATCTCCTTAATTTATAAGAGGTTAGGGCATCTATAGTTACCCAGGGCTTCATAAATCCCAGTAGGTGAGAAGATGAAAATGACAAAGAAGGGTGGAGAACAGTATCGTCAGAGGGTTTTAGCTTTAAATAAGTCAAGGATACCTACACAAAGAGGGAGGAGAAATGATTTAGAAGCAGTCATGGCAGGTGAGAAAGAGGCTGATCCTAATCAACCTAATTCAGAGGTATGTGGGTCAAGAGAGAATGAGCAGCAAGCATTTGAGAAGGTTGCAAGGGAAACAATATTTTCTGTGGAGGACCAGGTTTCAAGACAGATTTAAAGCATGTGTGGGAATAGCTGAATAGTCCCAGCAACCAGGGGCCAGAATGAAACTGCTCCCAAGTGAATCCTCATGAAGACCTTCTGGGATGGTGGAAGGACTTTAAGTTTCTTCAGAAGGAGTCAGTGGAGCCCAGGTTAGATTGGGCTCCAAGGGAATTCTATACCAGGTGGGCAGGCTGAGAAAAGATCAATTCATGTCCAGAACTTTCATCATGTAATTAAAAACAAACAAACAAAAAAAACTAATGGTAGGTCTTGGTAGATTTAGGAGAAAGGGTGATGCCTTCTCTGAAGTCAGCCACAGTCTAACCCTATCTTAAAAACTTATATTCACTGGGGTTATTAATCCTCAAGGCCATTTTAAATAAAGAGTTTAACATACATTAGAGGCCAAAATTAAGAAGTTTAGCAGAATGAGCTATAGATTTAATTCACAGCTAATTATATAACCTTTTACAAACCATTCTTAACTGTTCTGTACTATAGTTTCTTATTTCAAAAAAACTGCTCATGATAATGTCTGAGCCTCTTCTGTTATCACACGCAAATTAGACCATACCTATAAGAGTCCTTTGGAAGAAGGAAGTTAAAAAATATGCTTTTAAACCTAACGTCCAAACTAGAAAATCTTTCTAAGAAATTATAATTGACAACTCAATGCAGAGAACAACAGAATAAAACTAAGGCAACTTAGAATTTACTATTTTTAAAACTTAGTAAATATTGAAATATAAGTTTAAACTACTTTGGAATGAAATGACAACTTCTATCTCTACAACTTGTCTTAAGACTCATATTCAACCTCACTAGGGGCCTAAGAAATATAAATTAAAACAGTAAGATATCATTTTCTCCTTATCTGATGGGACAAAAATTTTAAAGATTGATTACAGCTAGGGTTGAGAGTCCTCCTAAACACTGCTAGCAAGTGGATACACTGGTACAATCTTTTAGAACAATTTGACAATATTTATCCAGAGATAAATGTACATATCCTTTAATTACACAATTCCATTTAGAATATGACTTACCAAAACACTCTTACATGTATGCAGATATATAAAAAGGTGTTTACAGCAGCAATGTTTGCTTAAAAAAAAAAATGAGTAACAGTATAAATCTAAATGTATTGGCTGGGTAAATTGGTAAAAATGGAATAAAAGTTAGCCATGAGAAAGGTAGTCTTTATGAGCTGATAGAGACACATTCATAAAGAATTAAATGGAAAAAAAATTAACTTATAGGACAGTGATCCTATTTTTATTTGTTTATAAAGATCCTTTAAAAACTGCAATCAATAATTCTTATATTATTTACACAAGAAACACATATACCAAATATTCATATTCTAGTTTGTCTTAATCTGAAATTCATCCCAACAGAAAGTCATATTAATTTTTTAAGCAAAAGGCTCTAAGTACAATTCAATATAAGGAAAAATGTAAAAATATTTGTGCTTTGTATCATGTCTTTGGGAAGCACAAATTAAAGGGAAAAAATTCTTACTTTTTTTTAACGATACTGACTTCTATAAGCCCTTCCTTCTGGTTGAAATTGTGACTAAAATCCCACAGACATTTATAATATGATGCAAAATGACGTCTAAAATAACCATGTGCTAAAATTTAACATGCTACAAGTAACTGAAATGTCTTCTAAGTTACTTTTGTCTTCTTAAATCTAAAGAAAGATCTAAGATAAGCATATTTAAAGTATTGGTGGCTTGTCCTACTTGCATGAGAATATTATACCACCAAGAGCCACCAATAAGCAGCATCAAGGCAGGCTTCATACAGACCTTTGTATACAATTGTTAAGTGTTTATATATATATTCTCATCTAACTATGAATGAATAGGTACACAAATTTTACATGTTATTTATTACATACCTCTTTAATTACAACCTTTACTTTGGCAAGCACATTAAGCCAAAGAAGCCAGCACAGGTTTACAATATTTATTGATGCTGCCTCCTGATGAACCCATTCAGTAGGATCCCTATCCTGAGACATTAAGCACTGATTCACATGATCAGTGGCCAAAGGGACATGACTATCATTATACACAGTGCATAGTAAACATGCTTTTAAGTAGGCTGGCAGATGGTTACAGATTGGCACAATGCCCCCAAAGTCCGACAAATTAGTTACATGCAGGATACTCACATCAGCATAGTGGCCTATCATATCACATCTGTCACACCGTTTTCTCCAGGAAGGTCTTTCAAGACATCTGTGAGTAGAAGACATAGGCAAAGAACAGTCTGAGCAAAAGCGGGCCGGACAGGCATACTGGAGGTGTCCTCTCTCGGAGCAGAGGCAACAGGAGCGGACTTTCTATGTGGCAGACAAACAGAAAATCTCTTTAGCAAAATATTTCAGTCTCAAATAGAATACTACTTTTTCTTTTTCAGTATAATTCCATAAAAAGTTATTTCCAATTTGGGAACACAATGAAGGTCTTGAGCATAATTATAAAATCAAACAAAATGTCTGAAATCAGAGCTTTAACAAAACCATCTGTATCCTGTGGTTGCCAGAAAGGCTCAGTCTGCATGTACTATCCATCTGGCATCTATTTCTTATGCCGTGCCTTGTAGAACACTGACAAAGTGGAATGTGTCTGAGAGGGAAAGTAGGATGATGAAGATCTGGAAGCTAAGTCATAGGAGCAACAGATACAGAAAGAGGCTGCTTTGCCAGGCAAAGACAGAGGCAACAAGAGAGCCATCTCAAATATTTGAAAGGCAATCATTTGGGAGAGGAAGTTGATAAGGGAAGGAATATTTGTTAAGGGCTTATTACTAGTGTCAAGAAATGTCTAAGGGGCTTCCCTGGTGGCGCAGTGGTTGAGAGTCTGCCTGCTGATATCAGGGGGACACGTGTTCGTAACCGGGTCTGGGAAGATTCCACATGCCGCGGAGCGGCTGGGCCCGTGAGCCATGGCCGCTGAGCCTGCGCGTCCGGAGCCTGTGCTCCGCAGCGGGAGAGGCCGCAGCAGTGAGAGGCCCACGTACCGCAAAAAAAAAAAAAAAAAAGAAAAAAAAGAAATGTCTAAGAGTTCTGTGTTATTTCAAAGATTGATGTATCTGTTTAACATAATTTACATCAATAAACATTTATAAATGTCTAAAATTATAATTTTCTAACAATGAAAGTTATCCCACAATGAAACAAGCCGTGTCATAAAGTAGAAGGTTTAGAAGTGAAATGAGTCTCAGGAATCAATCTGATTCAATCTTCTCATTTTATAGAAAAGAAAAGAGAAGCACAAAAGGTGAAATGATTTGCCTAAGGTTGTACAACTACTAATGGGATGCCGAAATTGATTCTGGCTGTAGATTTACTGTTCTTTACTACTACTCTAGGCTGCGACCTACATAAACATGTAATATGAAATTTAACACATATATTATATAACATTTGAATTGTAAGGTTATAAGGGTTCCAACCCTATGATTTTGATTTTAACAATGTGGAAAGACACATTACATATTTCACATACTTGTGGAAAGGGGCAGTTTTTTGACAAATGGCCACATTTGTCACAATTTCTACAGGTAACGTTTTTGTTGACTGAATAGTATCGGTGGGTCCATCTTCCAGATGTTCTTTTTTTACCTATCTGTGCCTAAGGGAAAAAAAAGATCAAGAATTAAAATTATTTCACTCTGTTCAAGAGAATTAACAGTCATAATCTGTTCAATTTAGAACTTAAAACAGGGAACTTTGTATTCTTAAAAGGAGTTAGAAAAACTTAAAAGGGGTGCCATGAAAACAGCTCTACTTTTTGTCTGCCCATCTCCCCTATTCTTTTACACTTCTCCATATGGTTCCATTTCTTTTTTATCTTTCTCTACTTACAGTTCAGGTCTAGTAGGGGCACTGAAATGCATCATTTAGACATTCCAGTGGCATTCAGAGTCAAAGATATTGCTGACATATAACTGGATGTATACCACATTTTTCTGAATGAGAAACTTGCTTAAATTTTTAGTTAGGGGTTGGTGTTTTTTATGATTTTGTCCTTTATAAAGTTATAAAACCACATAGTGACCAAATACATTCCTTCTTTTGAACAGCCCAGGGTTACTGCCTACAAACTGGATTTTAATTTCTAAGAGAGAATGAGATAATTTCCTTCCCCTAGAGTCCGTTTAAGATCCATTCTGCCTACACTGATCCAATTCTAGCTGTCCCATATTCTAGCCAAAATCCAGTATCTTGCAAGAGAACATTAGCAAAGCATATCATATGGACTATCTAAAGAGGAATACCTAAATGCCAACCATGCTTTTATCTTGTTTGGTACAATTCCATCTTTGAAAAAACTTTCATCTTTTACTTGTTATTCTGCTGAACTGGCCAAGTAGGCCTCAAAAGGAGACACAATCTAATTATCTCTTAACATTTTCCTTATACCAAGTTGTAAAATTACTCTCTTTTCTAGCCATCTGTCATAATTAAGGCTAATAATTGACAAAGACAAACACCTGCCACATCCTAAATATAGACTAACCATTTCCTTACACTGAAGAAGCAGTTATTTCCGGTGTTGATCTTTAGTGGTATCAGGCAAAATGGGCTGAGAGGACTTACCATAGCAGAGAAGAAACAAAAGGGAAAGGGGACTAAATCATTATGGCAATTAACTGACTGACAAAAATCAAGGCTGAAATACGCTTCTGAAAAATTCAATCACCCATAGACTAAAATTAAACTTTTTCTTACAAGATACTTGGACTGCTGCTACTTTTAAAAAGCTTATTAAGTCATCATAATGAAGTGAAACTACACCTTAAAGAAAATTATTATTCTATTATTCATAACTTCAAAAATGTTTTAATTTTACCTCAACGTCTTTGTCACTGATGAACCAGTTTACACCATCTTCTCCTACAAAACAAATAAAATGTTACTCAATCTTGACACCTTTAAAGCACTTGATTGACAATAAATTATTCAATCTGTCAGTATTGAAATTGAACCCCAAAGGTGTAGTGAGAAATGTGAACCCCTTAACATCTTATCTTGACACCATCATTATTTGTGTGGCTCTGAACAAATACTTAACCTCTTTTAATCTCAGTTTCCTTACCTGTGAAATGGGAATAATAGTATTTTCCCTGTATACCTAAAAAATATTGTGCGAATCAAGTGAGATACGTGAAAATGCTTTAAAAACCATCAAACTATAAACAAATATATATATATATATATATATAAATCACCAAAGGGACCAAAAACCCAACAGCAGGTGCAGAGAGGAATCTTATCTGAACTTCCCTTATCTGACTAAAAGCCTGCTTTGTGAGTCAGCTGCCACAGCCCCTCTCCCCAACCCAGAAGTCTCTAGTCAGGAAAGTCACTGACCTTGGGTACCAGGACATTCCCCCAAAACTGTGTAAACAAGCACATCAAAACCTTCTATCAGGGCTTCCCTGGTGGCGCAGTGGTTGAGAGCCTGCCTGCCGATACAGGGGACACAGGTTTGTGCCCCGGTCCGGGAAGATCCCACATGCCGCGGAGCGGCTGGGCCCATGACCCATGGCCGCTGAGCCTGAGCGTCCGGAGCCTGAGCGTCAGGAGCCTGTGCTCCGCAACGGGAGAGGCCACAACAGTGAGAGGCCCGAGTACCGCAAAACAAACAAACAAACAAAAAAACCTTTTATCTTCTGAAGCCCTAAATCCTCCTTTTGGTTAAGTTAGTATACAAACCTTTACCTTTGTCTATTTAGTGAGTTACTCATTACTCAGTGCTTCCACCCTTTTCTCCTGTAACTTTTCTCCTGTAACTCTCTCTATTGTCAGTTAACTCGCAGGCCCCCCACCATTCAGACCCAAGTAGGTAGAAGAAAGGTTTTTCCTTCCAATATCAGTATTAACTGTGTCCCTGTGTCCGCCAGCTTCTCACTGACATTTTTATAAGGTGGACTCTGAATACTATCTCATGATTAGAGCTAGGAATTTAGCACTGTATTTTACAACATCAAAAATAGTGAAGTAAAAGAGCAAAAACAGAAGGCCAAATATCCAGAAGACAGTGACCGATCTAAAAATATAACTGTAAAAACCTACGGGGGTGGGAGCCCTACATTTTTCTTTATCAGCTGTTTTCTTCTCTTTGCACTGCCCCTTTACAAACTTGCAAATGGCTGCTATTCCCTTGGTCCATCCATGGCCAAGGAGGAAGGGACATATGACTAATGCAGAAGTTAAGGTGTCAACAAAGGAGTGAAAGATTTTTTCTTCCCCCAAAGCAAAGATTTCCTCCTTCCTCCTATCTACTCTTCTTCTCTATCTCAAAAACACAAACTGAGCTTGACTCTTCTTTGAAAGGAATTTTGAAGAGACAGGAAGTAATCTACATTTTCCCAGGCCTACCAGGAGTAAGTGTCTAGAGATACATTTTAAAATAAAATACCTTTACTAAGAAAACCAAGAGGCTGCTTTACAAAAAGACCAATCCATAGGAGAGCAGAGATGCTGTGCTGATGATTATTTCCTTTGTAAAATTCGGAGGCTGCATCCATATACTGAGAGTGGAGAATACATTAAATAGCAGCAGCTTCATCATCACCATCCATGCTATTATTCTTTCATTCAAAGGATTCGTCTAAGGAGCATGCTTTGCTGTAACTTTCAAAGCTGTCTTTTGTACCTCCATGTCCTTCAACATTAAAACTCAAAATGACCACTTAAAATCACTTTAATTATAAAACTGGCTTAACATTGTCCTTAAAAAATGAACTCCCGGGCCTCCCTGGTGGCGCAGTGGTTGAGAGTCCGCCTGCTGATGCAGGGGATACGGGTTCGTGCCCCGGTCCGGGAGGATCCCGCGTGCCGCGGAGCGGCTGGGCCCGTGAGCCATGGGCGCTGAGCTTGCGAGGCCACGACAGTGAGAGGCCCACATATCGCAAAAAAAAAAAAAAAAAATGAACTCCCAAACCAAGGAAATGCAAAATAGCAACTGTTACCACCCCAAACTCCAATAAATTTACACATGAACAGAGAATATCGAAAGAATGGTAGGTTTACAAGGGAGATCAGCTCCATTTAGATTGTTTTAACATACCCGTGGAATTCAACAATATTCTAGGTTACATACTAACTCCTCCTCAACAAGCTACAGTATATTCTTACTGTAGAAAATTTGGCAGCAAGTACACAAAATAGGCTTCAATTACAAATGAAATCAGACTTCTGGGTGGTAAATGAAGTAAAGACATCACGAGGAAAATATAAGTCAACTCTTGGCCCTACTCATGGTTCAGTTTTGGTTCTACCCTAGCAATAACTGACTCTAATACCTATCCTGTTTGCTCCTTAACTCCAAATCCCAACCTAATGGAAGCTTTGTCTAACAGCAACTCATTAGAACTTCCACAGGCAGCCAATTCTCCACTTTGCTCAATTTCTGGTAAGGGACTTGTCAGAAATGTGGGCTCCAGACTTAACCCTATCTCTTATTTGCTGTGTGGCGTTGGGCAGGTTATTTACCCTCTCTGGGTCTGTTTAGTAATGGGTTGGATAAAGTGGTATCCATAGTATCTTCTAGCACTAAGTTTCTGTGATTCTATCAAATTTTCATTCATTACTGGAATCAAATACATTGTTACTTAGTCTACATTACCTAAATCCTCCAGGTCTTTGCAACCAACACAGAGTGTCTTGCCTTAAAGACAACTTCCCACAGGGCCCGGGAGCACCCATCTTCTATGTGTGTACCAGCCAATGCCACAGAATATAAAATGGGATTGCCCTAAAGTGTAAAATTAGGACTGCCCTAAAGATGCCTTATATCAACTCTTACCTGCTTTATAGCCTTGTCTTGCTAAGATCCAGGACTATGATTCTTTTCAGACTTTAGAACTGTAATCAAAGCAATAACTGATAACTCTCTTTGCATTAAATTAGCTCAGTTTAACAAACATGTATTGAAAGGTTACAATAAGCAAGGTGCTATAGGGTAAACAAAACTGATAAGCGCTTATAACTTAGGCAAACACAAAAAGATAAAAAGAAAAGGAGTAGGAGAGAACCAAACAAGATACCATGGTAAATTCAGAGGAAGAGCAGATATCTGAATTTAGGGAGAAAGGGGAAAAAAGTCACAGAAGGCTGTGCCATAAAGAAAACTGTATTGAGGTATAATTTACATATTATAAAATATACCCACGTAAAAAATACAGTATGATGCATTTTGACAAACGTACACACCTGTGTAACCACCACAAAAATCAAATGTAGAACATTTCCATCATCCCAAAACGTCACCTTGAGCATATTTGCAATCAATCCCCCACCCGAGGCAACCACTGATTTGCTTTCGCTCACAACAGATTCATTTAGCCTGCTCTAGGACTGCATATAAATAGAATCATACATTATGTACCATTTTGTATATGGCTTCTTTCACTCTGAATATTTGTGAAAGTCACCATTCATGTTGTTAGGTAGTAGTAGTTTGTTCCTTTCTTACTGCTGAGCAGTATTCCACTGTGTGGCTACAACAATTTGTTTAGCTGTTCATCTCCTGAAGAACATTTAGGTTGTTTCCAGTTTTTCACAATTATAAATAAAGCAGCAATAAACATTCTAGTGAGACTCTTCTTACTTGACATAAGTTTTCATTCCCCTTGGGAAAATAGCTAGGAGTAGAATTATTAGATATGATAAGTATGTCTTTACCTTCATATGAAACTGGCAAATTTTCCCAAAGTGATTGTATCATTTTACACTCTTATCAGCATTGTATGAGAGTCCCAGCTAGCTTCATAATCTCACCAATACTTGGAATTTCAGTTATTTATTTAAAAAAATTTTATTGGTGTACAGCTGATTTACAACACTGTGTTAGTTTCTGCTGTACAGCAAGGTGAATCAGTTATACATAAATATATAGCCACTCTTTTTTAGATTCTTTTCCCATATAGGTCATTACAGAGTATTGAGTAGAGTTCCCTGTGCTATACAGTAGGTCCTTATTATCTATTTTATATATAGTAGTGTGTATATGTCAATCCCAATCTCCCAATTTATCCCTCCCCCCACCTTTCCCTCTTGGTAACCATACGTCTGTTTTCTATATCTGTGACTCTATTTCTGTTTTGTAAATAAGTTCATTTGTACCATTTTTTTAGATTCCACATATAAGTGATACCATATGATATTTGTCTTCTCTGTCTGACTTACTTTACTCTGTATGATAATCTCTAGGTCTATCCATGTCACTGCAAATGGTATTATTTCATTCTTTTTTATGGCTGAGTAATATTCCATTGTATATACATACCATATCTTCTTTATTGATTCATCTGTTGATAGACATTCAGGTTGCTTCTATGTCTTGGCTATTGTAAACAGTGTTGCCATGAAGACCGGGGTGCATGTGTTCTTTCGAATTATGGTTTTCTCTGGATATATGCCCAGGAGTAGGATAGCTGGATCACATCGTAGTTCTATTTCTAGTTTTCTTAAGGAATGTCCATACTGGTTGTACCAAGTTTGGAATTGTCAGTCTTTTAAATTTTAACCTTAGAATGGGTGTGAAGTAGTATTCATTATGATTTTAATGGGCATTACTCTGATGAATACAGTGAATAAAGCCAGTTTTATTGCCTCCTTTCCAATCTGTATGCCTTTTCCTTCTTTTTCCTACCTCACTGCCTTATGCAGGACTTCCATTATGATACTCAATATTAGTGGTGACAGCAGATAATCTTTGCTTTGTTCCCAATTTTAGGGGAAAAACATATTCAGATTTTCACAATTAAGTATACTGTTTGCTGTAGATTTTTCGTAACAGGTTGAGGAAATTCCTTTCTATTCCTAGTTTCCTGAGTTTTTAATATGAATGTGTGTTGAATTTTATCAAGTGCCTTTTCTCTATCAAC